CGAGGAGGATATTAGTACTAATATTGCTCAATGGACCTAAACTATTTCTGACCAAAACTATTTCAACGTATCCATATATATTAAACCTAGAAACCAAAAGTAACCTCAATATCAAATTTCGGAATTCCATCTCAATCCAAACAACCAACGGCACATTTTGTGTCACAACCAACTTCTTCTCTCAACTACCGATACCAACAGTAACATCCATATCGAATTTCCACCTTGGAAAGGAGGGTATATTTACTTGATAATTCCGTTTGTAACATCCCTAAATATTCATCGTATATCTCATAAAGTATATATATTCATAATCAGCATATAATCCGTCTGTCTGTTGATATCACCATACAGCCCACATTATTTAACGTAGAAGGTCTAAATTTGGCAGAAAAGTTCGTATTGTGTCTAGAATGGTTGGTAGTGAAAATGGGATATATCCGTCCGGATATATATCCGTTTTGGTATAGCCGCCATATAACGGTACCTCCTGATACTCGGTATTTCAATGATTTTCGCCACATTGTTGTTGGATTTGTCTGGTATATGTAGGTCATAATGGGTTCTAGTTTCACAGACGGAACATTGCATGTATAGGTCCACGCTTTCGTATAGCAACATATAACGATACCTCCCGATATTCGGTATTTTGATGATTTTTGCCACATTTTTCCACGAATATGTTTAAAAATCGGTATTTGTCATAATGGGTTCTAGCTCGTGTGGCGAAAAATTAATGTATAGGTCCACATTTTCGTATAGCCCTCATATAACGGTACCTCCCGATATTCGGTATTTTGATGATTTTTGCCACATATTTTCGCAGATTTGTCTAAAAATTGGTATTTGTGGGTCATAATGAGTTCTAGCTCCGGTGACGAAACATTGTATGTGTAGGTCCATGTTTTGTTATAGCCCCCATAAAACTGTACCTCTCGATATTCGAGATTGTGATAAAAAATTGTATTTGCAGTTCATGATGGGTTCTAGCCCGGTTGCAAAACATTGAATATTTACTTTTTCTAAGGCGCACATATAACTATATGCACCGATATTCGGTATTTTGATAATCCTAGTCACATTTACCCATATAATGGTTTCAAATTTGGTATTTTAGAAGATTTGATCGATGACAATCCTTGAAGTATAAAATTGAATATAGAGGTTCCCGGTTGAATATAGAGGTAACCGTTATATGGGTTCACTCACTTTATGGTTTTTTTATGCTAACGGTCTCACTGGTATATAAAAATGTTTCCTTTACCCTAAGATGGAGGGTACACTGTCCCTTCACCTAATACCAAATTTAGTACCAATTAGTACTTTTCGTATAAATATAGAACACATTTCCAAAACCACTTCCATATATTAATCATACATACCAAAAGACACCTCAATATCATTCAATTTCGGTATTCCGGCTCTATTCCTCCACCCAATATCCAATATATAGTACCATTTAGTTATTTTTTTACAATTATAGTACAGATTTCCAAAACAACCTCCATATCTTAATAACAGACACCGTCAAAAACATTCATATAAAATTTCAGCTCTGTTCCTTTACTCTATTCCTTCACTCAATACCAAAATTAATGCACAATTAAAGAGCGCATTTCGAAAATAATATCCCATTTTCATCCTCAGATAGCAACAGTGATTTAATATCAAATTTCATGATTACAGCTTTCTAATTTCCCCCACCAAATGTAGTACTATTTAGTACAAACAGAATATCTAAATTCGGGATTCCAGCTCCACCCAATCCCAATACAAAATTTAGTACATCTTAGTACTTGTCGTACAATTATAGTACACATTTCCAAATTAGAGTACACATTTTCACCTAATACCCAATTTAGTACTTTTCGTTCAAATATAAGAGGCATTTCCAAACCACCGCTAAATCTCAAGCACAGTTACAATCAATAATCAAAATATAAAATTTCAGAATTTTATCTCTATCACTTCACCCAATACGAAATATTCAGCACTTTTCGTACAATTATAGTACACATTTCCAATACCACCTCCACATCTTAATAACAGACACTATCATTGACATTCATATCAAATTTCAGGATTCCAGGTCTATCCTTCACCCAATGCCAAATGTAGTACTTTTTGTACAATTATGGTACACATTTCCGAAACCTGGACATACCTCCGGCTACACTTGAACAGCGACACTAATAAAAAAATTCAGATTTCCAGCACTATCTATTCACCTAAGCTTCATCCGTTCACCCTAAACAAAAGTGTTTCAATTTTTTACCATTTGCTGCATTTCGAACACTTAGTACATATTTCCAAAACCAATTTCATGTATCAAATTTACTTTCCAACCTTGATTTTCATACCAAATTTCAAGTTTTTAGCTCTATCCGTTCAAATGGTACCATTTTAGAAATTAGTACCATTTTTGAACTTTTCTTAAACTTGAAATTCGAATATCCAAAAACCCTTTGGTACATCTATCCTGCACTCCATTAACATAGAGAATTAAGCGAGTTAGACCCATAGTTCCTTTTTATTATCTGTATAGATTCACATTCTGTGTCGATAAATGCATGTCCGTTCGTCTCTCTGTCCATGTTTTTTTGTAAACAAAGTACAGGTAGCATTTATTGCCCGATCAAGATAACATTTTGTAAAAAACTTTTGTTTGGACCAAGGACGAACTCTATTGAAATTGGAGATAATCGGTCAACATTTAAGATATAGCTCCCATATCTTATATCTTCGCCCGAATTGCCTTTTATCTTGACCACATTGTGCCTAGAAATAACTGTACCAAATTTGGTGGGAATCGGTTGAGATATATAGCTATAGCTCTCCTCCACAGGCGTAATATGCAATCCGTAACAACGATACTCGAAGAAATATATCAAATATATCTCAGAAATACTTTTGCCAAATATTATCGAGATCGGTTAAAATTTGGATATAGCTACCATATATATCTTTACTCGATTTCAAGTTTATTGAGAACCAAATGTTTAATAAAGCCCCGAACTGAATGGATTTAGGCATATACGAAGGAATTTAGCCTGGAAGAAAGTACATCAAATTTGGTGAAAATCGGTTAAGATATAGCTATAGGTCCCATATAAATGTTTTATCAGATTTTGTATTTTACTTCCTTATACCCGAGAACGCTCCCTTCAAAAGTTATCGTGCGTACTAGACTGACAGGTATTTTGGCGGTGGGAAAGGGGAAGAAGTTGAAAAAATGACTTAATTCCAATAGAATCGTTATATAGAGTATATACCATATACCGGATGTTAACTTCGTGTTTTATGAGCTTCATAAATTTTCAAAATTTTGACCTTCTGTGGGGGAGGTACCAGAAGGAGAGGACCGATATATTCCATATTTACACCAAACCTTGGTTTAATTAAAATATGTGATGGGTGTAATTTGAAGACAATCGGCCACTTACATCACATTTTATATGAGTTATAATTATTCAAATTGTTGACCCTTTGTAGGGGAGGTACTTGTTGAGGTGGACCGATATTGTCCATTTTCGCATCTGACCTAGCACTGATGCAAATATTAGGATTTGCAAAGTTGAAACAAAATCGGATTATCCATTCTCTTTCTGTGCAGTAAAATATTTTCGTTGAAAATGTTGACATTTTGTGGGGGAGGTACCAGAAGGAGTGGACCGATATTGCCCATCTCCGAACTCGATCTAAGTTTGGCAATAATATTACGATGTACTATGTTTGGACTAAATCGAATAATCCCTTCGAGAATTATTCTGCACACCAGCCAGACAGACAGACGGACGGACGGACATCGCTAGATCGACTCCAAATGTCCTGAAACGGATTTGGTCCCAAGAGACCTAGGGTCTAAAACCGTTATTTCGATGAGGCATGTTTTGGCCGTATCAAATGATATATGCCCTCCCTAGCCATATGGCTGGGGGAGGGTATAATGAGCAAAGTTCGTACCATCCACCATTTTTAAGGAACTTGAAAAATGTCCAAAAAAATCCGCCGAACAACCAAACTGAAAACAATTCCGGTGAATAACGCCGCTAATATCAAAATGTCAAATATTGGGAGGTACCCTCATATGGGAGATATACGATATCGTAGACCTATATAGACAATTCTCCGCCAGAGGCTAATGCTACAGTAATCAAAATACCGAATATCGGGAGGTACGGCGGCTATACAATATCATGGACCGATGAAGGCAATCGGATGTGTTTTTACTCTAGCGTGAGGGTGTATTAAGTTCGTAGGGAGGGTATATTAAATTTACGTACCTTATATACCCTCCATACTATGTATTCTGGAGGGTATACAAATTACTTAATTCAGACAGAATCTGTATATGACGGCTATAACAGACGATTTCTAAATTTTTTGTACACTCTCTTTTCAAAATATTGTATTTTTTCTCAAAGCCACAGAATTATCCAATCACGTTTTTAAATCAAAATTGTTGTAGCCTCACGCAGCATATTGTAGGGTATTCAATGTTTGTTCGTAAGGCATTAAACAGAATACAATAAATAAACATTTTATACGGATAACCCTTTGATCTGACACCAGCGTCGCTTTCTTAAAGTCAAAGGGGAGAGGGAAACGAACTCATCCGCTTTTTTTAGACTGTGCGATTTCAAGCGCGTGCCAATAAAATCCCTTGTTTTTGAGTTGCACACATTGGGTGGTAAGATGGGCAATATAAGAAACTCAAACCTTAATTTAATTATCGATAATTTTACTCTCAATGTTGTAATCAAACCAAAATCTGACGTTTGAGATTTATATTGGCAATTAAATAATTAGTACAACACGTGCATTTTTATGTCGATTAAATCTGAAATAAAATTTCTCAAAATCACCCAAAGGCACCACCAACTACGATCTCAAAACAATTTCTTATCTATGATTTTTTTAAAAGCAAAAAACTACCACAAAAATATTTTCTAATTCGTTTATTTCCGTATTTGCCCGCCTTGGTGCACATTTCGTTACAGATCTTTTGGAAAGTGAAATTATAGCGCCAAATTTAATTACCGATCTGCCTGAAAAGTTGCTTTTATCTGGCATCTATTTACCTGGTAAGTTGAACTTATTTTTTCACCACCACTGCTGCTTCTCTTTTCAGTTTGGGTTGATAACGGCAGATAGCAAAGCAAGAAATTCGCCGAAAGACACGCAGACAGACAGAAAGGCAAACCAAAAATATCATCTTCTCAGAGTAAGCATTTATGTTTCCAAGTCATGGCGGCTGTTCCTTGCATTTGGCTAAATGGTGGCCACAAAACAAGTGCTAGCAGCAGCAGCAGAAGTCACAGAAGCACCAGCAAAAGTAATTAAACGAAAAAAAAAACGACGACAACACACTTTCTTTTAATTCTTAGCTGCTAGACAGCCACACCTTTTGCCTGCCAAACGATGCGGTTGCAGTTTTTCATTTCTTAAATTTTCTTAATGGCCAACACCTTTCAATCTGCGATGGTCTGCTCAATTCCAAACTGGCATAGTTCTAGTTACTTTCACTGCTGACAAATTGCTAATCTGCCGGTGGGTAACTCGTAAGTAACGCTGATTTTGTTGTCGATGCTACTGGCAGCAGTCTGTGGGTTGGGGACAAATTAACAACAACAATTTAGTCAACGTTAAATATTTTTTTTATTTGGAATTTCAGAGATTTTCATAAATTGATTTGCAATTTTTCACTAACCAGACTCAATTTACACGCACCGCGCCGCGCCGCATCGGAGAGAAGATGGTTAAGTTAATGGTTCTTTTTTTTTAATAGCTGGTCATTTCCATTCTTATGACTGGCTAATGAAGAACACTGATTCCATGACGATAAAATCTTCAAAATGCATTTTTAACAACATGTTTTAAGAAAAATGATGGAGTTTTTGGGGATATCGTAATCAATACGTAACCTCAAAATATCGAGGTTTAAGTCTACCCTTTTTAATTTTAATATTTATTCCATACAACACTATGCGTAGGGGGTATTATAAGTTTGATTGGTCCAAAAATTATGTAACACCTCGAAATATTGGTTTCCCACATAGGAAAGTATATATGGATCTTCCTAGCTCGCCGAGCTGAGTCGATCTAGCTATGTATGTCCGTCCGTCAGTCTGTCCATGTTAATTTGTAATCAAGCTACAGATCGCAATTATGCACCGATCCTCACGAAATTGAAAATGGAGGTGGGGTTATGGTCAGAATAGAACCCTATTGTTTTTGGAGATGATCTCACGATATTTAGGGGTTGAAATGGACCAAAAACAGAAAAAAATTTACATGGAGTTAGAGTTTAGGAGTGGGCAGAAACCAAACCAACCATCGAACAATAATTAGCGGTTAAAAGAGAGCCTAACTTTTAAGTAAGAAAATAGGAAAATGTCCACTAAACCACGAATATTTTCAATCCCAGTCAAATCACAAAAACATTAAAAGATTACTTCTGATCATAAGAGTGATGCTAATAGCCAAGAAATCGGATATATAGCAAAATGGGTACAAAATATATGTAAAAGAATTGATATTATTTATTCTGCTTATAAATCAAGAACCGCTGGGCCGATTTTCACAATTTTCACCATTCAATTCGGAATGGCCTCTTGCCAGAAAACGGAAAAACATACCAATAAAAAGTGAAACTTTTGTCGATTTTTTTAAATTTTTGTCATATTTTTTATCGCATGCGATTTTTTCAATTTGACTTACAATTTTGAATTGTAAATTTTCTAAATTTTTACACCCCCCAACACTACGTTTTGAGGGTATTATATGCAAATCGCAATTATCGTCCGATCCACACGAAATTTTGCATGGGGGTAGGGTTAGGGTCAGAATTAAAGCCTATTGTTCTTAAGATGTGCATTTAGAGGTGCAAATAGACTAAAACAAATTTAATTTTTTTCTATTTTTTTTTTGCCGCTCTATAGGCCACAATTGAAAACTAATCGACACGGAATTTCGCATCAGAAGAGAATTAAGGACAGGGAAGAAGTTTAGCATTTTGGATGACCATTGGATTATATTTAGCTGTAAAATATACGTGTGAAATTGTTTTGAATACTTAACAACACTACGGAGTGCGTAAATATTGGCCAAATTCTCCGGGTCAAAAAACGAAGGGTAACTTCTGGGCGGAGCCCTTTGACATTATTTCTAAAACGAAATCTTCGAAAATGGATTTGGATATAAGGGGACTTCGAACATATTGTAGTGTTGTAGGGTATAACATGGTCGGCCCCGCACGACTATAGCCTTTGCTTACTTGTTTTTTTAATATGATTTGGCAAATTAATTTTTGTTCAAAATTTCGTTACTCGTTCCGAATTTCATTAGAATCGGACATACATACCGTGATTGGTGCATAAAATATACGAAATCGGCCGAAAATGCAGGGTGAGATTAAAAAAACTGCAACAAACTCAAACTCCACAATTTTTTTTTTTTTTAAATTTTATTGAATGTAAGCAAAAAATATCGGAAGTAGCATCAAATTTTAGAATAAGTTTAGATTTGTTCGATTTGGTCACCTTTGGAACGAATTATGGCCTTCAAACGGCCAATGAAACCGTCACACGCTGCCCGAATGTTGCTCTGCGGTATTTTGGCCCATTCTATGATCGACACTTTGGTATTTTTTAGTGCCAAACTTACTTTCCAAAATACTCCAGACACAATAGTTCAACGGTTGGTATCCGGATATTTTGGTGGCCATTGTGCGCTGGAAATGAAGCGAGGAACCTCATTTTGTAACCATTCTTGGGTGGCGCGTGCTGATTGCGATGGTGCTGAGTCCTGTTGGAACGTCCAAGGTCTGCGTCCAAAATGTTTGCGTGCCCAAGGCTTTAACACATCTCCAGAATATTTTCGCGATAATATTCGGCATTTATTCTGATGCCACGGTCGATTAATACAAGCGGAGAACGAACATCGGCTGTATGGCGGCCCACACCATCACCATGACCGGCGCTTGAGTTCTGGTTCCAACCGAAGGTGCACATTTTCAGCTGACCTCTTTGGCAAATAAACACGATCATTTTGTTCGTTTACAAACTGCTGGACAACGAATTTTTTTCTCATCGGAGAAAACCAAATTCGGCAGTTCACCACTTTCGGCTAAGCGAAGCAACTCTTTAGCTCTTTTGAGTCTACTTTCCTTCTGTTGCGGTGTAAGTTCTTGCACTTTTTGGAATTTCAATGGATTTACCCCGAGCTCATTTTCCAATATTTGCCGAATGGAATATTGCGATTTGTTCAGCTCACGAACCATTTTTAGGCCACTGCGATGCGGGTTTCGATCAAGTCGCTTCTTTACTTTTCGAACCATTTCTGCTGATGTTGCTGTTTTCTTCCAGCCATTTCCTTGACATCGGGCTACGCTACCAGTATCACGGTAACGAGCGACGGTACGAGACACAAAAGATTTTTTCACATTTAAATGCTGGAGTGCTCTAACGATAGCCACTTGCGGTTTTCAAGCCAAATATAAAGAAATCACACTATCACGCTTGAATTCCATCACGAATAACTTTTTTTCAGGAAAATTCTCGGCAAAATGCTTTTGTACGCTTGTAAACAATATAATGAGCTGACACTGGAATAATTTTAAGAGCTGTCGGACGAGTGGCTTAAAAATGACGGCAGTCTGAAGTTGGTTGCAGTTTTTCATCTCACCGTGTATATATTTCATCCGATTTGGGTTTTAAGTCTCTCACATGCATAATATGCACACCACAAGAATTATATTTGGTACTGGATGTCAGATACAAGACAGAAATACCTATGTTAAATTTTATCGAGTTCGGATCAGATTTGGATATATCTTCCATATATATCTTTATCCGATACCAGGTTTATTCCACACCAAATGGCTAATATCAGCCCAAACTAAATCTTGGCAATTCCGATTTGAGATTTTAAGTCTCTCACATGCGTAATATGCACTCCTCAACATTAATTTTTGGTGCCAGATATCAGATACATCTCGAAATCTGCCAAATTTTACAGAGATTGGTTCAGATTTTTATATATCTTCGATATACAGCTTCACCCGATTTAACGGTTATTGTTCACCATATATATGTAATATCAGCCTAAATTGGATAGATTTTTTCATATTCAATCGAATTTTACCATTGGGTTAAACATGGTCCGGTATATCTAATGCTCAAATAAATGTTTATACTTACAACACTATGTGTTGGGGGTATTATAAGTTTGATTGGGCCAAAAATTATGTAACACCACGAAATATTGGTTTCCCACATAGGAAAGTATATATGGATCTTCCTAGCTTGCCGAGCTGAGTCGATCTAGCTATGTATGTCAGTCCGTCCGTCTGTCCGTCTGTCCATGTTAATTTGTAATCACTCTACAGGTCGCAATTATGGCCCGATCCTCACGAAATTCAGAATGGAGGTGGGGATAGAGCCAGAATAGAACCCTATTTCTTTTGGAGATAATCGCATAATATTTAGGGCATGAAATGGACCAAAAACTAAAAAAAAATCCTGATTTTGCAGTTGCTCTACTGGTCGCAATTATAGACCAATCGACGTGGAAGTTAGCATGCGGCCACAACATTTGTGTTAAATAAAAGTCAAATTTTCCATTAAACCGCGAATATTTTTAATCCCGGCGATTCTGACCGTTACGTAGATGCTAATAGTAAGTATATCGGATATATATAGAGAAATATATGCAACGTATATAAACAAAGGAAGGGGATGTTAGTTGGAATGCTTATATCTCAAGAATGGCTGGACCGATTTTGACAAATTTTGTCAATTCAGAATGCCCTCTTGACATAAAGGAATAAAATCTAAAAATCGCATAAAAAGCTATCAATAATGATGTTAATATAGATTTTGTAGTATTTTGTGACATTTTTTTATTTTTTAATATTTTTTATCGCATGCGATTTTTTCAATTTGACTTATAATATTGGAAATATAAATATTACAAAAAAAATATAACATTTTTTCACCTTACAACACAGGTTGGGGTTATTATATACAGAAGTGATTGGCCTATTGTTTTCAAAGATGTCCGCAATATATTAGGGGTTGAAATTGACCAACAACTAAAATTTTTCCTGATTTTGCAGCCATTGTAAAGGTCACAAGTAAAAATCACATGAAGTTAGAGTTTAGGACAGCGGGTAGAATGGACCGCTACTTTTGTGTGAAAAAATACTAACTTACTTACAGGCGATATCCGAAATAAACAAAAGTCGAACTTCTGGCTTTTTATGCTGATTTCATTGACGAATATAGCAGCATATAGTATACAAGGAAATCATATTGATGAGTCTAAATTTGAGATACAGAGGGGCCTATTGCAATGTTTTGATTTGAGATAATCGCAAAATATTTAGGGGTTCAAATGAACCAAAAACAGAAATTTTTTTTCCAAAATAGATTTGGACGTAAGAGGGCTTCTAACGTATTGTAGTGTTGTAGGGTATCACATGGTCGGCCCCGCACGACTATAGCCTTTGCTTACTTGTTTTAAATATAATTTTTATCGAAGTCATATCATGCACTATACAGCAATGATATTTGGCACAAGAGCCTCCGTCAAATTTGTTGCAAATCAATTCAGATTTGGAAACATTTCCCAAATTGTGACTACTCTAAAGCCATGATACGCATTAAAAAGGGGGTTTATAGTTGGTATGATCTTCTTCAAATTGTTGACCTTTTTGACTTTTCGCCCGATTTTTTGACCTTTACTTACTGCTTTTTGTATTTTGATAGCGATAGTGTCTTTTCCACTTTTCAGTACTGATAAATAAATGAGAATCAAATGACAAAATGTTCAAAAATGAAGAAAGAAGTATTCAAAATTTTTGCAAAATTTTTTTGTGGTTTATTTAGAATTCGAGTGTTGGTCTAATTTTTTCCTCCTGGCTGTCTAAAAATAGTCCTCGTTTAGAGACTTATTATAGATTTTAAGTCTTCCAACCACTGTAGCCATTTTGGGTCTATTAAGCAGCAAAGAAGAAACAAGATTGTCAATCCATCCATCTCACACATCACATAGTAGTAGATTCTTATGACTTGCCAATAAAAAAAAACAACCGCCAACGTTACATGATCCTCAACTGATGGCCGGCTGATTGTCTGACAGGTTGGTTGGTTGGTTGATTGGTCAAGTGATGATTGCATTATATTGACATTTGATCGTTTTTAAAAACTAACACACCCAATGAAATTTTGTTGGAATTTCGTCGACGAGTTTCACATTTTCCTTCGCACCACTGGAATATGCAAATGTAATTTTAATTGGAAAATCTTTTTTCGCTCATATTTTTCATTGCCCGGACAGATTTCTCTTTGTGGGCAAGTTTGGGAAATTGCCTCAACTTAATATAGATTCATTCTGATGGAAGAATAAACTTTGTCAAATATTTTAACAAATTAACAGGTCTTGTCGGACCATCACATACATTCATATTTTTATTGAGTTTAGTTAATCTAAATTCCAAAATATTTTTTTCTTTTCTTTCTTGCAGGAATTCGTGATTTAAAAGGAAATCCGTTGGTTACAGTTGATGCTGAAAGTGTCCTGGCTGCTGGTCTTAATTGTTATGAGATTGCAACTCTACTTTTGTACTACAGTACCATACCGGAAAGGTAAGATTATTATAACTCGTTTATTTGTTATTTCTGGTTTCATGAAGATCGGGACACCAAAGCCATTCATTAATTATCATTATCAAATTTTACAGAATTTACAAATTTTATTTATTATAAAACAAGTAAGCAAAAGCTGTAGTCGTGCAGGGCCGACCAAGTGATACCCTACAACACAACAATATGTTGAAAGCCCCCTTATGTCAAAATCGAATTTGGAAGATTTCGCTTTTGAAATGATGTCATAGAGCCCTGCCCAGATGTTACACTTTGCTTTTTGATCGGGGGCATTTACGCACTCCCTAATCTTGTTAGGTATGCAAAACAACCTCACACGAAAGTTGTGGTCCATTTTAAAACTATATATAATCCAATGGTCATCAAAATGCTCTCTCCTCTCATGCAAAATTACTTGTCGATCGGTCTTTAATTATGACCAGTAGAGCGACTGCAAAATTCGGAAAATTTCATTTTTTAACCCATAAATGTATGCCTTCAAAACACCCCATGTTAAATTTCGTGAGGATCGGACGATAATTTTCGCCTGTTTATAATACCCTCAACAGATAGTTTTGCAGTGTGTCGAAAATCTTTACAAAATGTACAAATCAAAATTGTAAGCAAAATTGACAAAATCACATGAGATTGTCATATTTTTACGCGATTTGCTTATATTTTATGTTGTTATGGCAAGAGACCATTCCGAACTGATGAGAATTCTGAAAATCAGTCCAGCGGTTTTTGACTTATAACTTAGATCTATTTCTTTTACATATACAGGGTGAGATGGAAAACTGCTACCAACATCAGACTGCTGTCATTTCTAAGCCACTCGTCCGACAGCTGTTAAAATTATTCCAGTCATAACTCATTTTATTGCTTACAAGTGTACAAAATCATTTTGGTGAGAATTTTCCAGAAAAAAAAAAGTTATTCGGGATGGAATTCAAGCGTTATAGTGTGATTTTTTTATATTTGGCTTGAAAACCGCAAGTGTCTATCGTTAGAGTACTCCAGCATTTAAATGTGAATAAATCTTTTCTGTCTCGTACCATCGTTACCGAGATACTGGTAGCGTAGCCCGACGCCAAGGAAGTGGATGGAAGAAAACAGCAACATCAGCAGAAATGGTTTGAAAAGTAAAGAAACGACTTGATGGAAACCCGCGTCGCAGTGGCCGAAAATGGCTCATGAGCTGAACATATCGCAATATTCCATTCGGCAAATATTGAAAAATGAGCTCGGGGTATAACCATTGCTAATCCGAAAAGTGGAAGATCTTACACCGCAACAGAAAGAAAATAGACTCAAAAGAACTAAAGGGTTGTCCGAGAGTGGTGAACGGCCGAATTTGGTTTTCTTCAATGAGAAAACATTCGTTGTCCAGCAGTTTGTAAACAAACAAAATGATCGTGTTTACTTGCCAAAGTGGTCAGCTGAAAATGCACACCTTCGGTTGGCCACCAGAACTCAAGCGCCAGACATGGTGATGGCGGCCCCATAACAGATGGTCGCTCTCCGCTCGTATTAATCAACCGTGGAATCAGAATAAATACCGAATATTATCGCGAATATTCTGGAGGGTGTATTAAAGCCTTGGGCAAGCAAACATTTTAGCCGCATACCTTGGACATTCCAACAGGACTCAGCACCATCGCACTCAGCACACGCCAATCAAAATGGTTGCAAAATTAGGTTCCTCGCTTCATTTCCAGCGCACAGTGTCCACCAAAATCTCCGGATACCAATCTGTTGGACTATTGTGTCTGGAGTATTTTGCAAAGCAAGGTTGGCACTAAAAAATACCAAAGTGTCGATAACCTCAGGCAAGAGCTTCGCCGGGAATGGGCCAAATACGGCAGAGCAACATTCGGGCAGCGTGTGACGTTTCAAGACCATAATTCGTGCCAAAGGTGACCAATTTGAACAAATCTAAACTTATTCTAAAATGTGATGCTATTCAATAAAATTAAAAAAAAAAATGTAAAAATTATGGCATTTGACTTTGTTGCAATTTTATTATCTCACCCTGTATATTGTACCTAGTTTGCTACATAACGTATATCTTGACATCACTGTTATGATCAGAAGTGACCTTTTAATGTATTTGTGATTTGGCCGGGATTGAAATTATTCGCGAAATTTTTTTTTACATAAAGGTCATGGTTTATTATACCCGCTAAATGTTGTCCGATGACCGTACAAATAGGTAGGCTTCTGCTCAGCCCTAAACTCTAATTCATGCAAAATTCCGCTTGGTTCCAATTGGTTTATATTTGTGGCAACAACAAAACGGGAAATTTGTCTGTTTTTGGCCCATTTCAACCTCTAAATATTTTGCGATCATCTCCACAAAAAAACAGGCTTCTATTCTGACCCATTTTCAATTTCGTGGGATCAAGGTTCGGGCAATAATAGCGACCTGTAGCGTGATTACAAATTAACATGGACAGACGGACGGACGGACGGACGGACGGACGGACGGACTTACATACCTAGATCGCTGATGCTCGGCGAGATAGGAAGATCCATATATACTCTCCTATGTCGAGGTGTTACACAATTTTTGGTTCTATCAAACTTATAATACCCCCAATACATAGTGTTGTTGCGTATAAATATCATATATTTTGATCCGAATTTTTCGACAGATTTAGCAAGTTCTCCGAATTTAATGCCAATAGCCACTCTGGAATTTCACTGTCCAAAAGCGAGACTAGGTTATGGAAAACTCCAAGAGGATTTAATACCACTCAGTTTATAGATTATAGCCCCACAAATTTGTCATTCCGTTTGTAACTCCCCGAACTACTCACGTAGACCCTATAAAGTATATTATTCTTGATCAGCATAAAATTCTATTTCGATTTTGCCCTTTTGTAGAAATTGCACTAACTTCCGAACGAAATGAAGAATATTGTTGAATTTTGCTCCATATATTTTAAATTTGCAGGATTTTTGGTATAGACCCCATATTACTGTATTTCCAAATACTCAGTGCTTGTATGATTCAAATTTGGTATTTGGAGTACTACCTCCTAGGACAGAAAATTGGCTTAACACATTGAATTTTCACATTTTTCACCGAAATTGTTTCAAATTTGGAACATGTGGAGATCGTATTGGGTACTACTTAAGCAGTTAAACAGGTCTTCGTATAGGCCCCATAAAATGGTACCACCCTATATTTGGTATTTTGATGATTTCAGCGACATTGTTCAACAAAATTATTTTAATGCCGGTATTTAGAGTTGATAGAAAATTACCTTAATAGGTCCACATTTCCGTAAATTCCCATATAACTGTACCACCCGTTTTTGAGTGGAAGTAAAATTCGTTAAAAATCGAGCAGATTCTAGTCTTGTCGAGCACTCTTTTAATTTTTTTCATACGGTTGTTAAATTAAAGTGTATTTTCTTCTTCTTCTTACTCTTGCCCCTCCTTCCTCCTCTCCCATCTACCTCCCAATATTCAGTATTTTGATGATTTTAGCGACACTTTTCCCCGGTATTGTAAGTTCGTAATGGATACTACAGCCTATGACAGAAAATTGCCTATGCAGGTCAAAGTCTTCGTATAGCCCCCCATATAACGATACCTTCCGACATTCGGTATTTTTATGATTTTAGCGCATTGCTCACCGGAATTGTTTCAAATTTTATATCTAAAATTTGTAATGTGTACTACTGCCTATAACAAAAAAATACTTATGGCCGACCACGTCTTCGTATAGCCCTCATTAAAGGGGTTTGATTTGAAAGACATTTTGCTACTTATTTTTTTTTTAATTTTCAAGTTTCTTCGAAAAGATGGAGGGTATTAAAACTTCCCCCTGCCGAACTCTGCTGTTTTTTTTACTTGTTTTCCACTCATTTTCACTGTTAGAACAAACTATGTGTTCTAATTTGAGCTATTAGCTCCCACTCCAATCTTTCAAACAGGAGTGACTGAGGAGGGCTACCGCACATAACAATAGAGAAGACTCCATAAAACAAACTCCCACTCTTAGTTCGTTTCGGGAGTTTTTGATTAGGAATAATCCATTCCGCTGATCAAGAATATATATACTTTGTTGGAAATTACATGAGTATTTCGAGGAGTTACAAACGGAATGACAAAGTTAATATACCCTTCATAGCATGGCGGAATATATTTGAAGCTCTAATCAACGTGGCTAGTCCTTTCTTCTCAAATGGTGTTCAGGATTAATAAAACGTATGTATATCCCAATGGCACCATTCATCTAATTTCGATAGAAGTATTGCCTTTGGAAAAATCAGAGAATAATTTGACCTTTTATTCTTATTTTCAAAAATTTCACTAATTGTGGGGGAGGTGTGAGCAGAAGCAGACAGATATTTTCTTCTTTCAAACTGGATCAAAACACTGGGAAATTTTGAGATTGATTTTCCATCTTAAAATATTTATTAATAATTTTTTATCTATTGTTGAGGAGACACAAAAAGTAGTGAACCGATACTTTCAATTTTCTCCTCTGTTCCTAAATTCGATGCATATATTTGTGGTTCGCTTGCCTACTATGTGATTAGGGATTTGTAGAACTTCGGTCCTTGGTAGGATGATAAACAAAAAGAATTGGCCGATATACACCTTATTTAACCGAAAGATAATATTGGCTAAAAATTAGTGGCGCAAAAGTAATCATTCTATCAGAAAATGCTATAAATTTTACGGTTGGCCCCTAATGTCTCAATTACAGCCAAAAAAACATCGGAACGTCTGTCAAGTACATATGCATGTACAAGGTAGCGCAAAAGTAAACTTCTGATGGTTTTTGGGTGTAATTAAAACATGAGGTGCCAATCGTAAAATGTATAGCATTTTCTGATAGGAGGATTACTTTTACGCCACCTTGTATAATGAGGGTTATAGTTGTTTCATGATCAATATTATTTATATTCGAACTTTACTTGAATCTAAATTTTTGTACACTACGCCACACTATGGTGCACTGTAGCACCCAAAAAGTGGAAATTGTT